TGAAGCAACCGAGGCCCCAGGCTCAACCCTGCACCTGAGCAAACTTGGCATCAGTGCCTCTGAACCCAGTGCATCCTGGGTACCTTGCTCTCCTCCTAGGGTAGAGGGGCTTTCTGTCCCTGAAGGAAGCTAATCACTTCCCTATTTCATAAGTCAGGGAAGCTTTTTAAAAATACACCAACACCAGGCCAATTAAATGTAAACTTTCCATGTGGGGCCTGAGCAAGGGAGGCGCATGTCCTGTAGTCCACTGTGCAGCTGGGGGGAAGAACTACAGGTCTGGGGGCTCACATGGGGCCCCTGGCGTGGATGGGTGGTCTGCCTATGTTTCCTGCAGCCAGGTCAGGCTCACTTGTCCCTGTGCTGACCTGGACCCTCCAGAATTCCCTCCGGGGCCATGAGGCTCATGTCAGGCTCAACATCCAAGCAGACCTCACCAGGCAGTTATTCCTCCCAAGTCCCCAGCCCCCACCTGGACTTTCAGTGAGCTCAGCTGCACCGTGTCTCCAGGGTTGTAGCCAGAGACACCCCAAAGTCTCTGCAATAGAACAAAGTGCTCTCCCTACTTATCCACTGGACCCGAGATACCTGAGTGCCTAACCCCCACCTCAGTCTCCCTTTTTCCCATGAGCATTAGAAATAAAAAGGATGGGTGTCCTAATGCCTCCTCCTGCCTTGTAGTAATTTCATATATAAAACTATGATGGATCCTCTGGGCCTTTAGGAAATTCTGTCTCCTTAGCACTTGGCTTTTGCGTCCTATTGTCACTTCGGGGATTCAAGGAAATCTAATTTTGATAGTGAAACTCGGCAATAGCAGATATATACCTCTCCCCTGAGGCACTGACATTCCCTGCTACCATGCAAGGATGCCCCAGAGCAATGAGATGCACGGGCTATAGAAACACTTCTGAAAATATTTCAGGTAATGTCACCTCCATGGCACACATCTTGTGCCAAGATTTGATGTTTTACCCAGCACCTTGGAATGTACAGCCACTTTCTGGGTCTCTATTCATTCAGCCTTCGGAGAGGCAGGTAGAAAGGGGGCATTTTCATTCCCATCTCATATTTGTATAATGAAACAAAAGAGAGAATTAAGTGGGAAGTGAGGGTGTGTGGAAGAGATAGAAAAGGAGAGATCTGGAGTTTCTGTGTACTCAGTGCGGTTTGGACATCTCCAAGCAAGCCTGGTGCATTCTTCTGAAAAGTAGAAGTCTTTGGCCCAGCTATGGAAACTGGAAAGATGTGTAGCCCATTGCTTCCTGCACCAGGGCTACGATCTGCCAAACCTCAGGGTGCCAGATTGCCTGACGATCCCCACTCGGTCTCTATCTCTCCATCTCTCACTTCTGCTCCCCTTCTCTCTTCCACCCTGCCCCATCCCTCTGTCCTACCCATGGCTGGCCAGGGCTTCATGCCAGCCTGCAGGCCCACTTCTGTAGCCTCATAAACACCATTAAGCTCCGTAGGCTTCCTGGGACTGGGCCTGCCTGCCACTGGGGATTAAGAGCCCACAGTGAGTCAGCAGCCCCGCAGGGCCTGAAGCCTGAGACTTGTGGCTGGGCCTCTACTAGCTGAGGCACCCAGTACCCCACCCTGAGTGTCCCTGTGCTTCTCCTCACTTTCCCAGCCCATAGGCCAGCATCAGTGCCCACCCTGGGCCTTCAGAGTCCCAGTATGTCTCCCTTCCTACCAACATCCCAGCTCTGAAGTTGTACCACCAAATGCCCTTGGCTTTGATGGTTGGCCACAGCCACTGGTTAGGGAAGCCAGCTGCAGGGGCAGTGACAGCGGCATTCTGGAAGCCTGAGGGTGTGGAGTGTGGGCACCTCCTCTCCCTGGCTGTGACCCTCTGGCACGAGGAGGGAGAGCTGAACAGCTGCCAAGAGTCACCCACAGGCCCTCGGTGCCCACACACTGTGAATCACAGCTACTGTACAGAGTGCTGAGTCACCGCCCAGCATCTGGGGGGACAACGGAGGGCCTATTTTAGAAAGTTTGCCAGTGTACCCATGCCTTGCAAGTGCTTAATAGTTATTGCCAAAAATAGGTATGAGTTTAAGGCCATGATGCTGTCTAGGCAGCTCCTTGACGAGGGGCCATACTATACTTGTTAGTCTCCAGCTCACCACAAAGGGACCCGAACTTCAGTGTGCAGGCCAGCCCCAGGGCACAGATGTGTGTCCACACCCTGGCTTCATGCAAAAGAAGCGGGTCTGCAGAAGTCAGTGCCAGCTCTGCAGAACAGAGCACACATCTTTGTGCCAACTACTTTCTGAGTCACTCAGTGCCATTCCCATTCACGGGAAGAGAAAAATCTGCTGCAAGGGACCGACTGGCTAGCATTTCCAGTTTCTTGGCAATCCAAGAATTGAAGGCTTCTATAAATAGCAAGTCCCCAAATGCTCCCTCTCTTAGCAGGGGCTGCCCTCTGTCTAACCTCCATTCATCCAGAGTACACTGAGCAAGCTGAAGACCAGAGCCACCATGGACCTCATTGCCTTGGAGCGCAGACCTGAGCTGGGATGGCCTCAGCCAGGCCACAGAGCTGTACCTGAGGCCCCAGCCCCAGAGTGACCTCCACAGAGATGGGTGACACACAGCCTCTGTCACCATGGAGTCCCGGAGGTTCATGGGATGCTCAGAGAGCTATGATACAAAGTAAAATGTCACATGATCCATAAAAAGTTGAAGTGTCAGGGAAGAGCAAAGATACAAGATCATACCTGCAGGAGGAATCAGAGGACAAGAATGTGAGGGGACCCTGCAGAGCTGGGCAGATTGGTACTTGGGGGCTGGAGAAAGGATGGAGTATTTCCAAGAACGAGCTGGCCGTGAGCCATGGAGGTGGGCCACCCAGGCAGTGGCAGCCAGTGGGCTGTAGACAGCATGATGGAGTAGAATAACAGGTGGGGAGTAGAAGAACCCAAGGGACAAGATGATGGTCCCCTGGGGCACCTGGCAGGTGAGAAATTGGAAGTGGATCTTCCTCATGCTCCTCAGAACACCAGGTGGCCTGGGGCCAGGGCTTTCTGTGAGCAATGCTCTTCAGGTAATGTGTCACATGCACTTTCTAAGAGCTTGGAATCCAAGACTAGAGATGAAATTATGGACAGATGTTGAGGACACATATTAAGCATATACATAAATCAAAAATTATGTAATGCTCAAGTATTTAAGTGCAAGGAAAGAAGTCAGTGGCTCTAATGGACTGGTGAGGGGAGAATGTGTCTGGGGGCTTGTCCTAGAACATCTGCTTCCATCTTCAGCCTTCCCTGTGTGCTACAGCTCTAAGGTGGGCCCAGAAGAGCCCAGACATTAGTGCTAAACATTAAACACTGGTTTTATGGGGGCCCTGTCTCTGCCATGGCTGGTTTCTGAGGCCAAACAATTCCTTGAGCCTCCTACTCATTCTCATTAATTGGTCCAGTTCATCTCTGTAATGAGTCCTGAGTCTATATGAGTCCTGAGCTCATAGTCTGCTAGATGCAGCTAGGAGAGGGCAGGGGAATAGGGGACAGGGTCACAAGTACAGTAGCACACTACACAAGAGGGCACAAGTAGAAACTGTAATCCAGAGCTCCTCTTTTCACCAGTTAAAAGGAGTTATGACCACATGGGTGTGGGAAAGCCTATTTCTAATCCACACAAAGGCATTTAATGGGCTTGTGTCCTTGACAGGGATATAAGCAAACAGCTACAGTAGGAAGAACCACACTTACACTGTAAGTAGCTGCCGGACCAGGCCCAGCTCTACCCCTGTAGACTGCCATCTCTTCAGGACACAGAATCAGACACCACCAGAGAGCTGGGAGTCCCTAAGAGTTGGGGTCACCAGAAAAACCTCCCTGCTCCACTTCTGACACCACTGCCAGGAGCCACCGAGGCTGACTCTGAGTATTTCCACGGTGGAGCTCTGCAGCCCCCAACAGCCCTTTGCGGGTGAGCAGTCCGCCCTGTGACTCCCTCCATTGGCTCTGGGTCTGTGCTCTGTTGCCCTATAGATGTACAGGTAAAAAGAAAAGAGGAGTCAGATGTGGTGGCACAAGCTTGTCAACCCAGCATTCAAGAGGCTGAGGTAAGAAGATTGTCGTGAGTTTGAGGCCAGCCTGGGCTCCATAGTGAGTTCAAAGCCAGCCTGAACTATGTAGTGAGACCAGAAAGACAGACAGAAAGACAGACAGACAGACAGACAGACAGACAGACAAGACAAGGGGAAAAGGGAAAGGGAAAGGAAAGACCCCTGCACCAGGCAAACTATTTCTCACTCATTAGTTTCTCCAGGAAGTTGCCCCCCAAAAGACAGCCTCCAGGCCAGCAAGGTGAAAGGTTAGCGGAAGTGCGCTCCTTTGCTTTCCACTGTAACTCTGGCTTGGTGCTGCTGCAATGGGCAAGTTCCTGAAACCAGGGAAAGTGGTGCTGGTCCTTGCTGGATGCTATTCCAGATGCAAAGCTGTCATCGTGAACAACATTGATGACGGCACCTCCAACCACCTCTACAGCCATGCCCTGGTGGCTGGGATTGACCGCTATCCTTGCAAAGTGACAGCCGCCATGGGTAAGAAGAAAATCGCCAAGAGCTCAAAGATCAAGTCCTTTGTGAAGGTTTGTAACTACAACTACCTAATGCCCACAAGGTACTCTGTGGACATCCCCCTAGGCAAGACGGTGGTCAACAAAGACATCTTCAGAGGTCCAGCCCTCAAGTGCAAGCCCTGGAAGGAGGTGAAGGTCAAGTTTGAGGAGAGATACAAGATAGGCAAGAACAAGTGTTTCTTCCAGAAGCTTTGGTTTTAGGTGTTTTTTGTTTCTACCATTAAAAATTTCAAAAAAAAAGATAGCCTCCAACAGTCCCACCTGAATATCTGCCTGCTCCCCACATCATGAGCCATTCTCTGTCCTGTTCCTGTTATAGGCTTTTCTTGGGCTGGTTTTCTGACTGTAGACTGGCAATAGTCTTTTGACCTCAAGCATTGGCTCCTTGACTTCCCTCTTACCTCTTTATTTCTGCTCCTCTGGAGCTCATGAACAGTTATACAGGTTGTACACTGCCCTATACTTCAACTTCTAGATCTACTCCTTGTTCCTTTGGGTCCTTGCTGTGGCAGTCAGTGTCCCCGCTGAGTTTGTTGGATTGCTTTGTTTTCTCTCTCTCTCTCTCTCTCTCTCTCTTTTTCAGGGTCTCACTACATAGCCCACATTAGTAGTGATCCTCCTGCTTTCTGCCTCCCAAGTGCTGGGATTACAGGCGCGTGCCACCATGCCCGGACTCCATTGTCAGCTCAGCACACCCGGAGGCAGGGCCGGCACATGTTGGATTGCTTTTGAAGGAACAAAATAAAGGCAGAAAAAAAAGAAACCTCATTACCTGAGGTCCTTTGGTCTCCCCAACTATCCACCCACCTTTCCAAAATAGATTATTTCTGAGGAGTACACCTGTTACTTATGTTTGCATTTGTCCTGTTCAGCAGAAGCCATCCAAAGGGCCTGCGTGGGGCAGGGGCCCAGGAAGTGTTATTTGAATGAACAAATGAATGGTGAGTGAATGTGAATGGTAGAGGAATCAGGTTTAATTGCTTGAAATGAGGGGAGCACTCTTGTACAACAGGTAGGGATGAGATGCCAGAGCTCAGTGTCCCCTGGAAGCTGCTCAGATGATGTCATTAGAATTGAGTGTTATGGGGTCCCCTGGAGCCTGAACCACATGAGTGGAGTGGTCTTCTCCCTTTCACGGTCCATCCTTCTTTCACATCATTCCTGCTTTTCCATTGGAGCTGCAGCCACACAAGGCATCTATAAAGCTGCTAACATAACAGTGACAGAGCCACCTGAGAGAGGAGCAGCAGGAGCCGGAGCAGAGGGACAGGAGCCAGCATGGCTTCACAGGTGAATCATGAGAACTTGGCCAGGTGCGTGTTCAGTAGAGATAAGAGGTGGAGAGAGGAGAGAGACCCCGGAGAACAGCTGGAAGCTGCCTGCACGAGGCAGACTCGATGAGGACGGCTGACCCACGCAAGTCCTGCATTTGAATTTGCCATGGTGCATTTTGGAGGTGTAAGTGCATGAACAGGTACAACTGCCAATCAGGAGACAGAGGACCCAGGCTTTGACGTGATGCTGTGAGACAAACATAAACGTTAGGTGGTGGTGACCAGAGGTAGAACTGCGGTCCCTAAGGCCCTCACTGCTTCTCTTGGCTGTTGATATGGGGACAAAGTGGGTCCCCACCCTGCTGCACTGGCTCTCAGCTCTGGGTAGGAGGAAAATCAACTGTACCACACCACTCCAGTTGCTGTCACAATGGAAGGGCAGATCCACTCCGCCTCCTCAATCTGCAAGGGAGAAAACCAATAAAGGGGCTCCTCAGCAAAACCACTGCTCCCAAAATATGAGCTAATTTGCAAAACTTTCACTTCCGTGTGACTTTTTTGTGTAATTGGGCCCATATGGATGGAATAGAAATCCTGACATGTTAAAACTTAAAGCCTTCTAAGCCACTACACTGAGGATAGCAATGTGTAATACTAAAACCATGCTTGAAATACCTGTCATTTTGGTCTTCTAAATGTGTACTGCTTCTAATGTCACATCATTTATTGCCATACTATCTTTAAAGTAAATGTTTGTTTAAAAAAAAAAAAAAAAAGAGGTAATGAAAGAAAAGAGACAAGAAAAAACTTAAAGCCTAAATAGCAAGATCTTTTGAAGACTGGAAGGTTTTGGCAAACTTTTACCTTGGTTTTCACAGTGATTTTTTAGTGATTCATTCTGTTAATATTCTTAATATTAACTCCTCATTAATATTAATACCAATAACCTTGATCAAGCCCTCCTTACCTTATGCGAGGTACTTGGATTAGTGATCCATTGTTACACAGCAAAATACCAGTAAATTTAGCAGCTTAAAACACTCAAATGTGGTGTCAGTTTCTGAGGGTCATGAATGGAGGAAGGACTTTGTTAGGTGACAGGTCACTGAGGCTGCAGCCAAGGTGTCACCAGGGCCGCTGTCTTCTGAGGGTCCTGATGGGGTAGAGGATCCTTTCTAAAGCCTTAAACACAGCTGTGGCCTCGGTTTCCTCCCACGTGGCCCTCCCACTGGTCTGCTCACACCACGGTCATGATCCAAGAAGGACTGTTACCAAGCAAGAAGCCCTGACATGGGGAAAGGATCTAGCCTTTAGGTGACACTCCATCCCATTTCCTGGTCACACAGGTCAATCCTAGCAGCACACAGGAGAAGATGGCATAAGGGTGTAAACTCAAAGGGCAGAGACCACCAGGGCAGCGTAGAGCTGGTCTGTCTGTGCCTCATGTATATCTTCATCCTCCCAAAATTAGCCAGGGAAGGCTACTGTTATGCCCTTTCACAGATGAGGTAACTGAGGTTCAGTGGGGGTGACTGCTCATGGCCTCTGAGGTGACAGAGAGCAGAGCCGTGTCCCCTTCTCCCAGCTAAGGCCACCAGGCTCAGGCCACCCCACATAGAGCCCTGGATTCCTTCTCCTCCAAACACATGGCATTTTGCAGCTGCTAAATCTTTATCAGAAAACACACATCCCACACTCGTTAAAAAATTTTAAACTATGAATAGAAAATTTTTTAACACGATCAAATGCAACCCAGGAAAGTAGCAAACATAATACTATACCATAAACCATTAGACACATTCTCATTAAAATCAGAAGCAGAAATCTCTCTGCAGTTACTACTATTCTTTAATATTAGCAAATATGGTTAGTGCAATAACATGGCAATAAGAATTAGTAGAAAGTAGAAAATCCTAGATAATAGATGGAAAACAGCTCTGAATATGACATTTCAGCAAATGGCTGGATTCCACATCAACAGCGCCTTTCCAGTAGATCAGCACTGGCCAAATGCCTGTCATGCCCCAGCCCCAAGCTACCCCAGAGCCCACAGCCACTACTCATTCTGTGGCCATGCTTTCGTAACTTGTCTTATTCTACTCAGGATGCTGTAACAAAATACATGCCAAGGAGCAACTTATAAACAACAGAATTGACTTTTCCCCTTGTGTAGACAAGAAGGCCCAAGATTATCAGAATTCAGAGATTAGGTTTTACCCATGGGAGACAGAAACATTCAGACCACAGAACCTGTGGTCTTCCGTGTAGGTGGGTGGCTGAATGTTTCCAGGGAAAGACTCAGGACAGCAAGTTTCCTTCGTGGCCCTAGGACTGTCCAATTCCCTGAGATATGACAGATGAAATCTTTCATCCTGCATTGGAATGTGCTTTTCAGAGGAAAATTAAAAGACAAGAGGCAGGGACATTGCAGAAGAGAACCAGTTCACAGTGGGCAGAGGGTGGCAAAGCAAGCCAGAGAAGCCTCTTTCAATCCCTTGTATTTTATCCACCCCAGGTGGGACACCCTTGACTCTACCTAGAACTATGCCAAACCTATCAGTGGACTGATTTAGTAGTCACATACCCTCAATCCAGCATCACACACTTTGATCCAGCTACCTCTGAAAAAGCCCCCACCTATGACCACATGAGGCTTTGGGGGGACATCTAGGTACAAGCCACACCATGGGGATTGGAGGGATGAGTAGCTTCTTCAGGGTCATGGATGAATAGTGCTGAGCCACGACCCCGACCTAGGTCCTGGGTTCAGACCCAAGTACGCCTTCTAATCTGACTGCTTTTAAGAGTGAGACATAGCCCTGCCCCTGCCAAAACCCTGTCTCGGAGCCACACAGTGATAGACTGAAACCTCTACAAACTCGGCCAAACAAAGCTTTCCTCCTTTAACTTTGGGCATCGGGCATTTTGTCTCACCCACGAGAAAAAAAGGTCACTAACCCACCTCACAACCTTGACCCGTAGAGCACAAATGGGTCTGCCCACATCCTCAGAGTTGCAAGGATGCTGTGGTGGCCTGTGGGAAAGCGCTTTGCCGACTCCAGAGCCATGCAAACGGCCAGCAAGGCCCCTAGCATTGATGAGGGTGCAGCGCCAGCCTCCTAACAAAGCCCCAAGCAGTGCCAGCTCTCTAACTGGTCCCCGTGGTGTATTTGACTCAGCTGTCACATGACAGCCCAGCCCCCATGGCTCACACTTTGTCAACCAGATATATAGAGTGCTTCAAACCCTGCTGATGCCTAAAGACAATGGGGACAGAAAAGGTATGCAGTCATCTCCTTGCTTTACCTGATTTTAAAAAAAGTTACTGTTTATTTATATTACAATGTTTTTATTATATTACAATGTAATATTACAATGTTTATGTTTATATTTATATTATAATGTTTGTTTATATTACAATGTCTACTTTAGGGTCCCAGCAAGGAAGGAGAGTTAGAACTGTCCCCAAAGGCATCCTCAGGAGCCCCAGGGCAATAACCTTCTAGGAGTGTGGGCCTAGCCACCTAGCTAGGTCCCATCTACAAACACAAGCTCCTGAAAGGATTGGGAGAATAGATTCTGTGAGGGCAGGAGAATCCAGGGCAGAGAAGGAGACTCCAGGCCAGGGAGGGAGGAGACTCCAGGAATAGGACCCCAGTGAACACCTGAGAGGTTTGAGGTTGATATCTGTGCAGAGCACCCCCACCTTAGAGGCCTGGCTAATGGGGTGGGGTACAATGCTGAAGCCAGAGCAGATTTCCCAGGGAAGCGATCCCAGCTGACTCTGCCCTCTGTGTTGGGAAGCGTGGAGACTGCACAGCACCTCAGAATGAAGTCCCCTCCTCCTTAAGGACGGCCAGCCCTCCTGCCCAGTGAAAAGTGTGCCAGCTTAGTGGGCATGGCCTTGGGGAGGGCACTGCCTAGGCCATGGGCTGGCTGTTCCCCACTTTCCTGGGGTGACAGCACAGACCTGGCCAGGCCAGACCAGCTGCTGCCGGAGGTAGGCGCAGGTCTCCTGAGGACTCCTCTCCCTCCATCTGTCAGCCTTGGCTGCAAAGAGACACTTGCTGTGGTCCCCAGGAGTGCTGAGGGACAGACTGCCCTGAGCTTCCCCGCTGGCCCGCAGTCCTGGCTCCTGGATTAAAGGACTGGCTGCTGGCCACTGCAGCCATAGCCCAGCTGTCTCCGCAAGTCTGTCCAGCCCACTTTCTGTAGCGTGTCTCTGAACATGACTCCCTGCCAGATGCTGGGGGCTAAGAAACTACATCTGTGGAAGTTCTAGGGGGTAAACCATGCCTGTCCCCAGCTGAGCCACTGTGTGTCCTGTGTACCCCAAAGTCTAGATTCTTTCCATAGCCTCGTTTTCCCAGACTCTGTTTTCACTCCCTCTGTGGAATTCTTTCCAAGGGTCCTGCAGGCTTCTGTATTGCCCTCTGTTTGTGTCTCACTCTTTCCTGTGTGCGTCTGTGTCCATCTCACTGTTCCCAAAATCTCCCTCTTCTCTTCCTGCTTCCTCTGTTGCTATCTCTAGATTTTTCTCAGTTCATTCTCTCTCTCCCTCCCTCCCTCTCTCTCTCCCCACCCTAGCTCTCGCTCTCCTCTCCTTGTGTAAAAGCGCCCAAGCAAAATGTGCAGCAGGACTGAGGCTCTCTAAGGCAGAAAAGTGGGGACTTCCAGGCTGGGTTTCACATGGTGGCTCTGCAATTTGGCTGGGAAACTTCCTTATGGTGGCCTTCGGAAAGCCCACAGCAGCTTCCGGCAGGCAGCGTGTAAAGCAAGGCTCCTGCACAGCCCTCCCCCACAAGGAACAGCAGAGCTCTGTCAAGGCCTGCATCTCCCTCCCAGGAGGTGGGCGCTCTTATTCCCTGTATTCTTTGGTCCTTCCAAGAGGCAGAAAAATACCTTCAGAAGCCACTGTGTGTCGGAAATTCCAGCAGGAAAACCACAGCAGGTCGTCTTTTTTTCTAAATGACTAGGAGGAAGCAGAGCTGGGGTAGAGGGATAGATGAGGAATTAATAATGTGATTGGTTAAACCAGCAGGGCCCGGGACTCGAAAGCATTTGAAACGACAGCTGGAGCCAGTGCTTCTAACTGTACACACCTGTGGCCGAGTTACACCCTCTGCCAACCAAGGCATGGATCTGAGAAACAGTGGTGGCCATTTCATTTGAGACAAGGGTACTGTCAACTGCTCTTCTTCTTTTTCTTTATTTCTTGAGACTCACTATATAGTTCATTCTGAATTTGAACTCACTATGTAGTCCTGCCTGGCCTGAAATTCACAGTGATCCCCTGTCTCAGCTTCTCCAGTGTTGAGATGAAAGGTATGAACCACCGTGCCCAGCCTGCTAGCCACTCTTCAACTATTATCCTAGTCAACTCTATAGAAAACGTTAGGTGAGTAGTTATCTTCCCACTCCACAAGTGAAGAAAACGAGGCTCAAAGAAGGCAGATAACTTGTCCAAAGTTATACAGCCTGGGGCTGGAGAGATAGCTCCATGGCTTAAATGCCTGCCTGACAAGCACAAGGTCCTGAGTTCAATCCCTGCTACCAAAAAATAAAGCTACTCAGCCAGTGAGCAGAAGAGCTACAATTAGAACCCAGGACACTCTGACTCCAGCTTGTGTGCTCGCCCCTCTGCTGAAGCAGCTTAATACTCCATGGAGGTGATGCCACGCTTGTGAGCGTCACTGCTGCGGGTGGATCAGAACAGAGACCCAGCGGGCCACAATCAAGCAGCAGGTTGAGCCGACCTCCGCTTCCTGCCTCAGGCGGCGGCAGCCTCTGAGCACCTCGGGAGCAAAGGTTCCAATTAGCCCAGCTGGCTGAGGCCCACAGAGATGTCTCCGAGCTGCAGAAATATGCTGCTTGCTGTGCCTTCATCTCACCAGCTCCCAAAAGAAAGATATTAAGAGCTTGGGAACAAATGTATGAAAGAAAAATGATATCAGAGAAAACTCTGTTTTCTTTGACTTCAAAAAAAAAACTGACATTAGTTTCACTATTGTGTGTGCTTCTTTCTACTGAATTGGACCTGAAAAGATGAAATGGGGCAGGCAGTTCCGCCTGAAGACTTCTCTGGCAGCAGGGATTAGGAGAAATTTAGGTGCCGTGCTGTGATCAGGTCGGAAACACTTCAGAACCAACATCTCAGAATCAACAGTTGTGAGGGGTGAGGGACACCTCATTGCTTCCTTCTGAAGAGAGAAATGTCCCCTTCTGTTCTGCTTCCACAGG